GGGTTTTTGGCCCCCCCACAACATGTTTTACTCGCCCCCCATTAGGGTTCCCCCCAAAAAAAAAAACGGGGTTAATACAAAAAAAAACCGGTACCCTGGTTTGTGGAGTTCAGAAAGTAAATTGGCTTTTTTTAAAAGGTGGTTCCCAAGGGAGGAAAACCCAATCCCGAGGGGAAACCACCGGAGGGGGGGGGGGGGGCTTATATGTCCCCGGATGTCCCCGGGCGGGGACATTTTGACACAATCCCCGGGGTTTCGACATTTTCGGGCGCTTTTTTCAGCGCGCGCGCGCGGTTATCCCACACAAAGCTATAGTGGAAACTATGGAGACACCCAAGAAATACGCGTCAATCTTGGGTCGGGGGTTTTAGTTTTGGTTTTGGGAAATATTAGGAGGCCACAAAACCTTAAAAATAAAAATAATTTTTTGGGTTTTTGGAAGGGGCCAGAAAATTTTATTCAAGGAGGATTTTTTCATGGATTGTTCCAAGCGGCCCCCTTAACCCCTTTATATTTTGGGCGCAATTTTTGGCCGGGGGGGGGGGGGGGGGGGGCTGGGGTGTTGCACGGTTTCCACATGGAGGGCCCCTTGGTATATAAAATTGCGTCAAGGGGCATCATGGATAAAAAACCCTTTGCAGTAGGGGGGTCAATGACTTCTTTTCGTGAACGAAGCCCCCTATACTAATTCCTATATATATACAGAAATCGAAATTGCCCTCCCGGGGGAGAGGGGGCGGTGGCGTACAATGTGTCCGGAACTTTTACGTATACGCTAGGTGGTTCCGTTTGTTTTTTACGGTCATGTTTCTCCTCTCGCGAGACGTGGTTCGAAGGTTTCAACTCCTGACTTGGCGCATGTGACTGGTGTAAGCGTCGTGCGTGTCTCGTCTCGAGGTACCGTGCGCGCGAGAAAGTGAAAATCACGGAATCGTTGCCCCTTCCGCCGGGTTTGCAGAACGCAATTCAGGCCTTGGACACCCGGCCGGGTGGTTTCGTCTGACGTGTGCATCAACATGCGCGTGACTGATTTGAAAGGATCCAGCGGGAACGCACGACTAGCTGCCGTATTTATGCATACATAGACGAAGGCATCTGGTCTTATTTGTCAATGATGTAGATAGCGTTGCCGAAGGTCTCGGTGGCTACATGGGTGCTCCGTGGTTCTAGAGGTAATATGAAAGGGCCAACGACGACAGCAATGTTGCCGTGGATGCAAAAGTTTTGTTCGAAAACAGCCACGGCAATAGCAGTAACAACAGCAAGAAGAAGAGAACGAGTTTGTTTTTACCTCTCGTAGCCGCCGCCTGCCCTCTCGTTCGAAATACTGGATAATTCTCTCTGCTGCTGTTGTATGTTATAAAAAAAGTAACCGCAAGAGAGGAAAGAGATTATATTCCCACCGACTTTTGTAACCGCCGCCGTATATACGTACATTTTCGTTCCACGACCGCGGCGGACACAGCTGCGGAAACTCGGGGTCCTGCTGGACATGGAAGACGGCGTGGACTCGCTGCTCGAAAAGGCGGCCGACACCGAAAAAATGGACCCATCAAGCCTTGCCGACGTTGATCTCTCCGCCGGGGATGACGTGGACGACGAGGGAGCGGCGGACGCGCGAGCCTTGTCGCAGGAGGGCGCAAGCAGCCATTCCGCGGCGTCGGCGCTGGTGCTACCGTCCAACGCCGCCCCCGCCGCCGCTGTCGGCGGTGGCACTCTGGATACCGCGAAGAAGGCCGTGGCGAGGTTGAGGCGGAGCATCAGCTGGGATAAGGATGAGGAAGGCGGCGAGGCTACCACGGAGGTACGACTGCATGCGTAGGCGTTGCGTGCGAGAGCGGGAACGTGGGGGGGTGGGGGGGGGGCGT